ATAGGAACCCTGTTAGGGATCAATCTAAGCTCTACCCTTTGGTAGATTACTGAAAAATAGAGTTAACATTTTCAGCAACAATGTTGATGACATCTTTTTTTGTAGTCTTTCTCGGTCCTAGGAGTGGTTCACTATCAGTACTTTTTGTAGTGTAAAAGTGATGTGACCAATGATAAAACTATTAATAAGGTCTTATTGTTAAATTTAATAACAAATTGTTCGAAAGAAACATCATGGATTACATTTAGGAAATGAATTAGACCACGCATGAAATGTAATTACATTATTCTATAGGAAAATTCGTTACTCGATGAGGGAATTCCGCGTTTAATTACACGCAAAAACCAATATCGCATGAACCGCGAAGCAATGAGTGCGATATTGGTTGTCAAGTACAATTTAACGCGGAATTCACAAGTCAAGTAATAAATTTTCCTTGAATCGCATAATTGAATAAAAATGAGACAAAAAAAGGAAACAGCATTACTTATAGTTGTTGTGTATACATAGATGCGAAACAATATCACTTAGCCTCGTCTTCAACTCGCAATTCCACGCTAAGTACCTTACTTTATTAACCAATCAGAATACAAGAATTTTTCAATGATGTGATTCAATTTGGTGGAGTTGATATCGCTAGGTATTGCAGGCACACACTGCAGTGCCACAAAGTTAATAAGAACCTAAGCATATCTTTATTAGGAAATAAGAGGAGAAACACCTTGCTTTAAATGTATATCGAGGGTCTGGATGGGGGATGGCGGGGGTAGGAATGTCAGTTTTCTGTTAAAATTTCGGCCATTTATCAGTTGTCAGTTAAATTTCTGTTGATGATTAACTTGGCAAGTTAGATATTACTTTCCGACCCTATAATTTTGGCTGAAAAGCACATATAGCCTATACTCGAAATTTAGTCGAAAACTGATACAATAAGAACTGCTTTTCCTTAATTCTGCGATGAAATAAGATCTCTCAAATGACTTTCAGTCATTTTTAAGTCAGATACGACTCTTCTGAACACAAACATATACGGCGCATATGTAGCGCACTTGTAACGTAAACTTGAAATTCAAGTCGAAAACTGATACAAAAAGAACAGCTTTTTCTCAGTTCCGTCTGGAATGAAACAAGATCTTTCAAATGACTTTCAGTCATTGTTTCATTCAGTTACGACTCTTCTGAACACAAACTTCTGTTTTCCCGTGTGCAACATTCCTTTGCAACAACTTAACGGGTCAAAGTGTTAGAAAGAAGATCACCAGAAAGAAAACAAACTTGCGAAAAGTCTTCTAGCACAACATATTTGATTCATGTTTTGTTTTAAAAAGCCTCGATCGCGGTTGGCTCCAATGAAATGATTGCCGGGCAAGGAACGATCTCTTGTTTACTTTTCAACTAGGTTATTAGAGAAAGCGTGCCTTAGAAATCCAGGAGAAAATAGGCGCGAACCGGCCGTCCAGATCTAGAAACCGTAATTGGGGCAGTATCTTCATCCTCTTGGTCAGAAAAGTCGTTTTCCGAGTCCGTGTCATATTCTTCTGCATGTGTTCCCACCACAGCAACTGCCACTTCAGCGATACAGTTGTCAACAAATGTGATATCTGTCACATTCCCACCTTCCTAAGTGGCATGAAAAGCTCCTTTGTCGCTGCTGAACCTTACTGACTGATCTCCCGAGTTAAAATGGTTACCTAGTCCCGCCAACAAGTCCACTTCGGTGGAATCATGTTGCTTCGTGTAGATGGCCTATATTCTTTCATAGCACTTTCAATCTCGGGGTCGATCTCTACTGAAGGTAGAGGTCGCATAAAGTTTACATTTGCAAACTCCGTGCTGGTCTGAGAGACAGGATAGTAGAATTTTTGATGAGTAAAATACTTGGCTGCCCAGGCGTTACTCTCTTCAAAGACTCCTTGGTAATAAATCCAACGTCTTGGGAATACTGTAATGCCGTGAAGGTCTCGTGCTTAAAATGTGAAACTGCATGTAGATTCTCCACAACTGTTGGGAGCAATGTGCTCAATTCAAAATCTTGAAGATAATCGTTGTTAATTGAAGCTATGCTGTTGTGCAGGCGGCGCATTCTCTTCTTCGAGAAATTTAAGTGAGACTTGAGTTTTATGAGACACAGTTCCTTCGGCGCAGTTGGTTGCTGTGGTTCCCTTTATACTTCACATGTGCCATTGTTTCAACTCAGAAACGGTTTTGTCATGTTGTCATTTACCTGTGATACTTTTTCTACGGCATCTTGAAGAGAGAATTGTGCTTTCTCAATGCTTTAGGCTCCGATACCAAAACTGTCCTAGAGACCTCCAAGAACGACGCAGTTCCAGTTCTCAGACTTCTAAGAACGACACAGCACGACTGAGCACGACACAGTACGACACAGTACAGTACCACTGAGTCCCTGCAACCTGTAGCCACATCTGATATAAATAGAGTCTTCTCCATAGAACAGATGCCATGAACTTGCGTAAAAAAACACGTTTCATCAGTTCCTTCACTTGCTCCTTCCTGACCAGAGCCCATCAAGGTTTTAACGTTTTTCTCAAAAGAACTGAAGAACTTTACATTTCGATCCCCCGAGTCAGTGAACGCTATCCCGTCTTCAAATTCACTGTCTTTTGATTTCTCTACAAGACTCCGAGTTGTTCTTTAGAAGTTGGTCAGCTTCAAAGCTTGAAAGGCCGGTCGCAAACGTAAAGGCCACCGTCTGGACCTACTGCTACAAAGTAAGCTCTTTGTTTGAGAACTTCCATAGACATGATATTCAAAATGCCAGTCGGGTAGGTCACGAGTCTGACTCCGGTATCATCAATGCCAACTCCATCGTAGTGTAATGTCACTTGTATAATTCCTCTCTGGGCATCGTCTGCACACAACAGAATGTTTTCACTTGCAGCAAAGATTGAAGTTGGCACGTTTGCTAAAGAAGGGCGAACCTGGACAAGCTTCGAGTTTCCGAATTCATTACTTGAGATATCAAGGAGGCGATAAGAACAAAATGGTATATCTCTTCGATTATTACTGTGAACCCATGAGGTGCGTAGCAAATGCTGCACAATGTAATTTGAGCCAGCTAAGAACCTCTCTAAAATCACACGAAACAAGAATATGCCCAGCAGACAATCATTATAAAATAGAACCATTCAGTCGCATCACTGCGACTCTAAGATTTAACTTTTTCACGGTCACTTAAGCTATGTCATTATAATCTACATAAAACATAGTCTACACGAATTCAAGAATGAGAAAATTCTGACGGCGCCTCTAAGTAGGCATCTAATGGGCATTTTGAATAAAGAGTAGGCTATTAACTGATATATTTATACCAACACCAAATACGAAACCACTCCAATACATACTGTTTAATTCGCTTCCTATTCCAGCCAAAAAAGGAAGCTCCAAATTCCATTGGTCGGCCGTAGTTAACGCAAAATTATCGCTCTTTCCACCTGATTTTGGAGCGGCAAGAGCGTTATAAAGCTTCACATCAAAATCTCCGAGGCCATACTTACTACTTACTAGACAGCTCCTTTAGACTAAGGAACGAAGTAAGCTGCTTTTTCAGCGCCAACAAATTAAATTTCCCTCTATAGTTTTTCTTCAAAACGTTTACCACACTTTCTGATTCAACGGGGCTAAATTTAGGAGGGATGCTTTTGAAAAGTTGTTGTAAACCTGGCGCTGTTTCGATGCCAACTGCCGCAATTTTCTTATTACATTTCACTTTGGATACTGCCGACCGCTCTGCATGTAACCGGGCCCACGCGTGTACGAAAAGTCACGCCATCTCATCACGCATACCCGGAGGTAACTACAATTTTTTTAGTCTCGAAGGGTCCGTCCGTTTTGTTCTTTCAGCCCTTCATTCATTCACCCATTTATTCATTTATTTCTATTTCTATTTCCCTCTTGAACTACATAGTCATTGATAAGAAATAGCACAAAAACTGCAGTTAAAAATGTGACAGTAAAACGCATCTTTGAAAACAAGATTAGTAGACTTGACTTGGCGTTTCACATATTTGGACATACATCTTCAGAAGTGTCAATTAATTGGGCTGTCATCGTCAGCAGCCGGATCTGAGCTAACCGGGAGGCAGGAAAAAAAGTCTTTGGTCTGGTTTGGCCTTAGATAACGTTAAGTTTTCAAACACGCTTTTAAGAAGGGTCGTGCTATGCTGACTGCATGAACACCTTAATTTTCAAAATCTGTTTTGTATTATTGTAATGCTCTTTGGCTTATATGTTGTACTCTTAGCGAATAAACATAACAAATTTCGAGAAAATTCAGACGATTGTGTGGAGAGACTGTCTGGATGATCAGTCACAACGGATCACTTCGATTGGACGCTTTTCTCCCTAAAGAACGAATTATTTTCGATTGTCCAAACCATCCCTAAAGATTACCTCAATCGCTTCAGTTTCAGATGTTTTTGGAGGGAGGAGGGGGGGAGTGGGGAGGGGAGGGGTATTTTGACGATTAAAGTGTACGATCAGGCAGACGAGGGCGAAAAAGTCAGGCTGAGTGACCACTAATCACCACCGTATATGTAAGAATGCGATCAGGCTTATATGCGTAGTCAAGATTAGAGTAAAGGGTGAAAAATTCATTACAGTTAAGATGAGGCTATGAGCTGCTTACCGCAAGTGATGATGGTCGTAGGCTCAGTGAGGTTGGACGCAGAATCGAATAGATCGAGCACAAGTGATGGTGGGATCGACCCTCGAGATGGCGACTAATAAAGTTACATGTGAACGGCACGAAACAAGCAGCCGGCAAAAAATTGGCCATTTCCGAATTACAGTTGGCTTCTTTTTCAAAATCAAGCCTGGTAATAAACCATTCTTGTGAAAAAAAAAAGTTTAGTTTGCACATTAATGAAAGCGTATTATGATATAAAAGGATGAGCACCAGGAATTGCTTCAAAAAAGAGGCTAAAGGTAATTCGGAAATGGGCACGAGAAAGCATACTGTGGAAACAAAATGAATGAAACATGCAAGACACAAAAACACGATTTCATGTTCTTGATATTTCTTATTTCAAAAAGTGGCATCTAACCTAATTTGAAGCTAAATCAAGGCCAAAAAAAAGATGGGCTATGACTGAAAAGAGCTCCGAGAAATCCATACAGATAGAAAAAACTATGGATGAAGAGTTAAACAGTTTAAGGAATTTTCTAAGCTCTCTCTTCGCTATTCCAGAAGTATTTCCATTCAGAGGTCGGGGAATGTCAGCCAAAGCAACAAACAGCACCGTAAAGCCTCGGCGAATCTTGTGCCAAAGACGTTGTTAACATATCAATTTGACCTGAATTGTTTATTGTTAGGCTAAAGGTCGGCTCTGCTGCCATGGTAAGGTTCTATAGCGAAAATAAGACAACGAAATGGTATTAACTGCAGTTCGAACAACCTAGGTTGACACATTAAGTCTATCCTACTTCTCGCTATCAGGCAATGACAGTAGCGCTAAAGAACCTGCAATAGGTCAGGCAAATTAGATGACCGGACCAAATCCAAAAAGGTATGTTTACAGTGCGTCCTTGACATTTTTATTTCCTTTTTGACTGATGTATGTCGTGAAATCGGAAATGCTGATGAATAACATAGCCGTGGTTTAATAATTACTAGATTCCAGATATGATACTCACGTAATAGACAACAATAAAATGAGAGAAAGAGAACGAGCGAGAGCCCCACGCTAAAACTCACCTATGAAAGAACTGCTCTAAGGTAAACGGTGATGCATGTGATTATGTCCTTAGCTAAATACTCCGACTGAGACAACGTCCACGTCGAATTCCAGTGGTTTTTTTGAGCGAGTTGTGGCCATTTCTCGTCAATGTTTTCTCTATTTTTAAGTACTTGACTTATTTTCCTGCAATTAGGACAAGATAGAATTCCTGTTAGTCAATTGACCATCATTTGAAGCGGATTTCTGTCGAGGACTGTGAGAAAAATTGCATTGAGCACAGAGCTGGAAGCTAGCCAACACTTCAAGTCGCCACCTTTTCGTTCAAACAAAATACTTTGTTAGGTAAACGCTTTGACTCCCAAGCCAAAGAAGAATTGTGAATCGAATTCTCAATTACCTTGTCGTCAAAATTCACTTCACAGTCATCGCCAAAAACAACCTGTGTAACAAGGAGACAAGTGATTCTACAAGCAACGCTGGCACCAGATTCGTTCTTAGTTATCACCATTTCCTCAGAACTCCCTATCTCCCCCCCTCCAGCAAGGTTAAGAGGAACAAAACTGGCCCCCCCGTCATCAAAGAGCTAAGTTGAGAAGCGCCCCACGCCACAGCCCATGGTACGAATGTCTCACTTGTTATGCCAATCGAACAAAAGCGGACATCTCCTAGGAAAGTCGTGACCTCAGTGAATGTTGCCAAAAGATGTGTACACGTAAGTTAGAAACTCAACTTTCTCTAGAATAAAACCGTTTGATTGACTAGATCATGGATAAGCTGGTGACAAAAAAATATGAGGTACAACTCAAGCTACTTTCTCTGCAGTATACAACCATGCAACCCATTTTTCCTACCAAGTAGATATCTGAGTGAAGGATGATGTTTCGTACGACCAACCGTGTTTCCTCGACGGCATTCACGATCAGTTCTTACGTTCCGAGACTTCTGCGGCTGCCCCTAGCGATGGCAAATAAAAAGGTACCTATTAGAAAAGGGGTCATTCGTCTTTACACAAGCCTGAACGTGGAAAAAAGAAAAGAAATATGATTCGCTGACCAGGAATCGAGCCCCAGACTTTGAGATTCCCTCCTGCGATGCTCTACTACTAAGCAACTTGTATGGAAACGGCGGAATCTTGTGAGCTAAGCCGTTACTCTGTTTCCACTTGACAGGCGCTCTGCGTACTGCTAGGATCGGCAGCATTTGAGGAGGTAATAAATGTATTCCACAACCACATTGATACTAACTGGTTACCGGGATCAGAAAGATGACATATTTTAAGTTTGGAAGTGGAATGGGAAAAGCTGTCACCTACTAACTTAACAATAGCCGAGCTCAACGAAAAGCTCTTTCAAGCTCAGTGGTCAGTGGAGAATCAGAGCAAGGATCCCGAAGGTTTAAGGATCCATTCCTCGTTGAGATTTAGTAATTTATCTTTGTACCATGCTCATGATAAGGTAGTTACCAGTTTCCCTCTTCCAACGAACAGCTCAAACGTTCCCATCTTTCGTATGTTCAGTATGATTTGATATTATTAATGAAGTAGTGGAACACGTTTGATATCGACTCGACCGGTACAAAAGAACTTAGTATTTTCACAAAGTTTAGTATATTCTTACCATAACTTATGTCCCACATCTTCTCCACGAGATTTTCACACTGCTTTCCCCAGCTATATTTCTCTTCATAAGCAGACCGTAAATGCTGAACCTCTTCAAGTCGCTGTGATCTTTCCTTCTGGCGGACACCGGAAATTGCCCTTGCCCATACCTCGGGATCCTTAGATCTGACAACAACCTTTTCGCCTGATGGCACAGTGCACAGTGCTTCTCCAAATCCAGAACAGCCACTGACAAGAATGGGAAGACCAGCTGACAGAGCCTCCAGGGCCGTTAAGCCAAAACCCTCTGCTCTTGATGGCATAATGCAAAGATCCACCTCACAAAACTGATCATCCAATTTCTCCTTGCTTTGCACAAACTTTCGCACAGTCAGCTGAGTATCAGGAATTCCACTCGGAAGCAAAAATTTTTTAACATCCTCCTGTTTTCCGTCATGTGCACCCACAAAAATTAGGCAGTAAGAAGGGTCGCTCAGTTTAGCTATTGCCTCAGCAGCTATATCGTATCCTTTCAGTTTAAGGTCCTCTTGATCACCACGACCAAAGGTCAACACCCTAAACTTTTTATTGTCCACCTCAGCATGTTTTATAGTCGAAAATTCACTGAAGATGCCTGGAGTCAGCTCAATTATATCTTGCTGTTTTCCACATGAGCGAAGATAAGCCGAGAAAGTCTCCCCCAAATTCGGTCCAATTGCAACAACAGCATCTGCTAATTTACATAACTCTGCTTCGGTTGTTTTCTTCTCCTCACCCTTTTGAATGGCCAAGGGATAATCTTTGTGCATTCCTAGATCCTCAGGTGAAGTATGTACTACCTGAATCCACTTGCAACCGTGCGATTCTGTGATGAATTGGGCTTGTTTACCAAGCTTCTGACCATGACCCACTACTATATCAATTGCCAGGTCTTTCGGTGGAGAGATCAGACAGTCAAGGGAGTTGTAACCTGGACGACTCTGTACTTCCCTGATGTTAACATTGTGACTTTTTGCGGTTCTTTTCTCTTCTTCAGAGCAGCTTGATGGAGGAACAAGGAAAGTGACTTCCACTTGCTTGTGACTTCCCAATTGAATGGCGAGGTGTCTGTTAATTGTGGACAATCCTCCCATTAATGAATTCCACTCACTTGCCAAAAGAGAAACCTTCAATTTTGAGTGGGACCCTCTTGGATTAACTCGAGTTCCTCCTTCGCTTTGTGACCTGCCAGTAATATTTGAAGACGCCTGCAGGAAGAGCAACATATCTTTAGATGAAAAAGTATCTTACGGAACTTCCAAATGACTGAGAAAGAAAGACAGATGTAGACATACCGAGAGATAGATACATGTAAATGTACACTCCAAAAAGATGCCGTTTAAAGCTTTCTTTGCCTTAGCTTTGGAATACAACCTCAGAAGGTGTCGTGTCATCAATTCTTATATGACTCCATAACTGAGCGACTACTGACGTAGCAAAAAAAAGGACAACCATGCTTCAGATTCGGCGCGTGCTCAAAGCTTCAATTAATTAGTGTGCTACTTGGCAATTTCAGTTTGTGTAGTATATCTGCACGATCTAGTTGTGGTCAATCAAACCGAATGTCGATAACAGAGCAGTTTTCATGTAGCTAGGCTTAAAATACGTGGGTACTTGAGAAATCACTGTTACGCCAACTTACAATTGTTTCTGGTTGCCTGGGTGAAGTTGTCTGTGGAAAGGACTGAGAGGATAGAGACAAGTCCTTTAACAAAATGAAAACAATATCCATTATATTTCGCTTCATTAAAGTTATTAATATCAATCTTTTAGCACAACCGAAAAACCCTTCTTTTAGTGGTGGAAGTTGCCATCATTAATTTTGCAGTTTTTTTGTCAAAAGATGTGTTCTAGGTTTATCCGATCTAAGCTCCAAAAGGTGACACAAACTCAACACTTGTTCATCGAGGAGGCGGACGTACGTCGTGTAAATAAATATAAAAAAATAGCCAGTCAACAGTTTCTCAGCTAATAAATTAAACATTGAACTGTGCAATGATTCAAGTCTGCGATTTTCACGATGAACTTGAGTAAGATCTGTGCTCAGTGTCTTTTTGGTGAACATTTTACCTGCCCTCCTTTATTTTTAAAGCAGGGAAAAATTGGGTGGAGACTGAAGATAAATCTCACGAGGTAATGAGGGACGGTTAAAAAACTCTCCTCTTCAACTGTCCACTCTAACTTTAAATCAAACATGGCCAACCTGATAAACGATGGCGGGCATGTAACGCTAACGGCTCGGCACGTTAGGGATGCGTGAGAAAAACAACCAAACTTACAAATTACTTTTCTAAATATCTTTTCCACTAATTACGTAAGGTGGCGAGCTTAGTCATGGATCCAGCCTGAGCATAGTTTACAGTCATTGCTGTGTCTTTTTAATCACAATTTCAGAATTACTTAGAAGTTGATGAGCAGTAAGGAAATACCTGCGTAGTGAATTTTGTTTGAATTATAGGAAAATTGCATATAGATTCAGGGTGTCTCCTCTCTTCAGCGTTCAGCCATTCCAAGAAGTTTACTGACATGTTCCTTTTATCTTTGATAGTAACGTACACATTTTCTTGGTCTTCTCCATCCCCAAAAAACCTGGCGTAAAATGAACAAAGGAAAGTCTCTAGTCGTAGTACTTTGCTAGAAGCGCCATATAGTTTGGCCGGACGGACATGCAAAATGAAACTTAGATCACACGAATCCGCATCAAGTGATAGTAATAATGATGAAGGTAACAAACTCTTACGTTAAGGAGAGGTCTTCACTGATTTTTTCACCGAGCACCTTCAGTCCTTCCGAAAGAGACACAAACGTTTGGTCCTCGTTAAATAGCGGTTTCTTCGAGTTTCCATCACCTTGATAAATCACATTGTAACTTGAAATATACTCATGCACTTTGGATTTCCAATTCAAAGGAAAACAGAATAATTTCAGCAAGAACCTCTCGTCGTCAAGGCAAATGCAAGCTAAAAACCCAGCTCGTTGTCTCATGGATCTCCTGTCCAGATCAGAGACATCACCAGCGTTAACAACGGCAGGATTATCCGCTATCAAAGGCAAAAACCTGCGCGAAAATGGTAATGATTAATTATAATTTCTTTTATAAAACGTTATAATCTGCATAGCTTCGATATCATACTGCATAATTTCTATCTTTTAAGTTTATCTTTTATGATTTGAAAATCGGAATTACACCTTGCGAGAGACAAGTCCACACTCAGTACGACTAGATTGATCGTCACATTCAAACGCCTCATACCATTAATAGCATTCAAAAGCATGCTATGTCTAAGGAATTTCTAAGTTAGTACACTTCGCTACTTTCGAGCTAAATATGCTTATCAAACAAAAATACACAGACTTTACTTACCGGCAGAAAGCTTTCACTTTGAAAGTCGCTATTCCACCTGTAAGGGAGACGGACATCTCCAACTGATCTGTGATGTCTACCCATTCCTGCTGAAAGTGAAATACCCTCCACTGACCGGAATGCACCAATTCTCTTTTCCCCTTGAAAAATTCAAGAGGTAGTTTTATTTTCGCTGGCGCCAAAAGATTCACTTCATGCGAGCACAATATGTGGAGAATCGGACCAACTAACATTTCCTCACTTTTATGGTCAATGCTTGGCGGTTCTTGAATCTGACAACAAAAGCGAAATTAAAAAAGAATTATGTACATTGACCCTTATGACAGTTCAACAAATACTTTTCGCACGTTCGATACTAAATTAAGACGAACCGCGCACTTTTTGATGATAAAGTGTTGCTCATCACCTAGAAGTTGAGAAACGTTGATAAACTACGGTAAGTTATATTGGAAAGCTTTATTTTTAAGAATCAGTTCCTTTTAGTAAAATGTGCAATTAATGTTCATCATACCCCAGCACACAACACAGAAGGCATACGCGAAGCATGTGCAAGTTGTTCACTTTTGGCCAGTCGCGTGCCAATTCCTGGCGCAAAAAGTAAGAAACGAGAGCGGTCATGCAATTTATGGGCGAAAAAATTGGAGTGTCCATAGAAATTTGTAAATGAAACAAAAGTAGGGAAAAGAAAAAACTCGAGACTACGAACACGAGGTTTATTTTGTCATACACTGTGACTTGCTGACTTGTGCGGTTGTTTGTAACTCCTATGATACAAATTGATTGTGACTTCCTAAAAGCACGCCACTTAACCATCATGCCTAGCCAGCCGTAGCCAACCACAGCCATGACAATGTTTGCACATACGCAGACGTTTGACCACTGTGTTTCGGTGCGCAGTCTACAAGAGGTATCGCGTTGCCCCTGACACATCAAAAGTTTTAACAAGTCAGTAGGACAGAGCTGAATAATGAAATGCTACGTCAGTAGGTTGCGGTCAACAACACGGGCTCAATTGTCCTAGGTCTAAAATTTAGCGAAATTAGCGGAAAGTAATAAGGGCTGACTTTTAAAAACCAAGGAACTCTGTTTTCGTCGAAGGCATTTTCATATTTCCAAAGGTTTTAGGGAGAAATTCATTTTTGAAAATTTTAAGGGGATGTACCAAGTCTTTGGAGGTAGTTTTGTGAAAGAAAAGCGGCAAGGAAAACGACACCACGAAGCAACAGAATAGGAAATCATTCATGCGAGTGACTCAAAATCCGTGTTTCTGCGGTAAAATCTAGTGCATGCGTGTACGATATTCAGCTCTGTCAGTCGATAGTGGTTTAGCGTGGTCTGTACTCTTATCGACAACGAAAGCCGAGTGAGACCACAATATCGACGTCAAATAAAACGATTCTGTCAGTGCGTAACCAAAATCGTGACACGTTGACGCGAGCTCCGATGTCTGTACTCTAATGGCCCATCAGATGGCGACATTATTGCCAACTGTGGTAAAAAATGGTTTACTTACCTTCAGAGTCAAGCAGAAGTCTGGACTGTAAGGAACAGAGTTCCAAGGAATTACAATACTGACATTTGGATAGTCTGGCACTGAACAGATGAACTCGGGGGTCATGGAGTTTGGCTTTGGAAACCTAAAAGACTTAAGGCGCCAAATCACGGCGAAAGAGGAAAAACGGGTTATTGTAGAGCTAGCTTCAGCGTAAGGGCACTTCCACTTGGAAATGGCTGGCCGCATCTCTGCAACGTGGAGATTTTTAATAGAGCATAAGTACATGTAGTAGACCTAACCATTTCTACAGGAATCCCCTTTAAGTTACCGGTGGTTACCTAGGGAATTCTAAAACAAACACTTATAACTCTATGCTTATGGGAAAGAGAGACCAGGAAATATTAAGGTTAAGGTTATCTGAAGTGGTTTATTACTCTCAAAACTTTCAACCAATAGATTTTTTAGTTATTGTGTAAGTTTTGAACTTTCAAGAGCTTAGTAAATAGATCAGATTATTGAGGAAAATGTTTAAGATCTGGCTAGGATTCTGTGAAGGTCACCAAAATGTCCAGTCCGAGAACATAAAAAGTACTAGTGTTAAGAAACTGCCTCAAAGTAATTCACCCTAGAGTAAACATAATTTCATATTATTTCAATACCTCCTGTATCCCAAACGATTCTAGTTTCCAAATCATACCACTCGTTGTTTTCTGGGTCGAGCAGTTTCTTAATAACCACTTCATATCCCTTGAAATCAGAGGAACTGTGCAACAAACCCACTGTTATGCTTTCTGTAGCGTCTTCCATAGAATCCAGAGTTGGTGGGCCATCAGGAGATAGTTCAATCACATTGGACACTAAGAGCTCATTACTGTGTATGGGAGGAGAGAGAAATCTAGGATTCCATATGGAACAACAGACCCACAAGGGTTCTTTCATGATTCCTGGGCAAAAAGTGATAAATGCACCTGCTTCTGGAAGATTCCATGTGTCTCCCTTGTCTGTTATTCTATCTCTGTGGAGCAAGTAGGCATTTAGTGCATAAGTCTTCTTAGTCTTCACTGTTCCTTGTTCCCAGCCCCACCTTTCTGCGCTCACTCCTTTGAAAGGTTCATGAGAGCCCAACAAGACAAGACAAGAAAAATCCCACATAAAAATCATGGCAGAAAAACAAATTACCTCCTGATCACAGTCTTTTTGGCATCTGCAGGGTTTGTCATAGTATCTTCTTTATCTAATATCTCCACTTCAATTTCTTCCTCCTCCCCTTCTCCAACTTTTGATTTGGCATCATGCAATTTCTCCCCCTCAGAGGCTAAAAATGTTTGTTTTCATCCAAAAAAAAAAAAGCCTTAACAAAAGCCTTAATGGTTTTAACATCTTTGATAGGAATGCGGCTTCTGTGACGTTCAAATGCCGTTTCCTACTCAATTCGGTAAAAGCTTACGAGCAATAATACCACCATTTACGGTCTTCGCGTAAGTTGATGATCGAGTTGGGTATCAAAGATCATATAACTGATATGTGACACATGACCTTGATGTGGATGGCACATGCGGTAATTATTTACGAAATAGGACACTCTGGCGTACTCCTACTGGAATATAAAGTAAAATATACTTTCATTGAACAAAATAAATCAAATGTCCTTATTTTACATCCAGTCTTTAAGATATTTAGGGCGACCCGGGCTTTTGTCAGTTGTCAATGAAAGCCCACTACAAATGTCAGTTGTCAGTTAGTTTTTCAGCGATTTGACAGTTGTCAGTTAAAATTTTGCCATTTGTCAGTTGTCAGTTAACCCCATCCAGACCCTCTATATCAAGTGGATAACCGCTCTCTTGAAAATCATATAAAATTAACGTGTCTAGGTCTCTTAAACTGAGCATATTCATTTGACTTTGTATTAAGGAGACATGATTGCAGTAATTGTTACAGATGTGTTTATCAAAATGTTCCTGACCAATATTTATTCTGTAAAGAAAACAATTGGCAAAGGATATCAAGAGGGTGGTGCATAGCTTAACTAGCACAGCCAGTAAATGTAATTGTCTTTTATTTATTTGTTTGCCGGCTATCATCTGAATTTTGTAAGTTTTCTCATAATAATGGTCGTAATTTGCGAATAATCATAAATTTCATACTTTTATATTGCTAAATTTGTACGAAAACAATTTCTGTGTGTGTTGGTTTGTTTGATTGTTTTTCTTTTGGTTTTTCTAATTCGGGAGACATTGATGAATTCTTTTGATAAGGATAAACCATTTACTCTGAGGAGTCCAGAAGAAAATGAATGATCAATTAAACAAAGGATCCAGCCCCGCAATTTAATGTAGTTGTTATTTTGTATAGTTTTGTTCCTTTTTTTTTTCTGTTGTGCTGAGGCTGGGAGAGGGAGAGGAATGGTGGCGGTTTGTATTTACAATAGCCAGTCATCACAGTTCATCTGAATTGTGAATAAAATCAGGAACGTCTTTTCTGTGATAAGTACCCGAATTATGGGTTTGAATCTTAGACACAGTTTTTTTTAAGTATTTTCCTTTTTTGATACATGTAATAGATGAAAAATGTTTCGATAATACGAAATAAAATTAATTTGCATGATTTTTTGCGGCCAAAATACTGCCAATTTCCATATAAAAGCATTCCGGGAAACTGGGGATGATAATTGTGCTTGTTACGTCACAGTGTTTGATAACATTGATATCGCGCGCAGGCGCCTCCAAATTTCTCTTGCTCGGGACTTCGAATGTGCGAGTGATTAACGCTAATTTTCGAGCCACCATGTTTAATTTGGTGATCTCTAGCGATTTGGAAAGTAGTGAGACTTCAGATTCTTCAGAAAGTATGTTTAACAAACACAGCGACGTCCCAGACGTATATCATGTGACATTTTGGCCGCGCGATCTCTGGGACAATCTCAACATGAAAGTAGCGCGCATTTTGCACGGAAAAAAGGGATTTCAAAATATTCTCAAGACCTAAGAACGTTACAGTCGTTTTTCTAACATTATCAACGACCAAAATCAGCGGAAAAAAAAAGTTGTGTCATAGACAGAGGTCGCACTTTGCCCTTATTTTTTTTACGTCGCGTCATAAGTTGTCCTACAAATATGTCGCGACATTTACACCACGGGAGTGATGGCGGTCGCACTTGTGCGACATAAATGATATTTGAAACCAGACTGTCAACTCCTAATATTTCACTCGTGAAAAGGGCACCAAATAAAACTTTGTAGACATGAGGCTGGTGCTAGTTTTATTAGCGACATTTCTTCATTCTCTGTTTAATTTGTTCAATGTACAGAACCTTATTGATTTGTACACATTGTACAACACTCACCAACGGCAACGGATGCGAAAAAATGGGAAAATATCTACGAGCCAAAGGGTGAAAACAAGCCATTCCCAT